AATCAGCGCAGTCGGACTTTACTGCGAAAGATGGTTTTTCGATTATAACTTTTAACAACATTTAAGTATAGACTTTTGAAAAAAGTACAGAATAGTCCTTATACTATTGAATAATTCTGTTATTTCTGATTCACACGACTCTGATTTGTTTAATTAAAAAAAAAGTTTTAAAAATATTACTTAGGAACGTAACCGGAGCTGGGAACGTAACCGGAGCAGATCAGTTGAATTGTATAATTTAAAAAAATAAAATATATGATTTAAAGCATATATATTATTTACAAACACATATGAATGTTAAAATGAGCATTTATTACCCTTCACTTAGAGGAAAATCAATGCATGGCAAAACATATAAATTTTCTACAGATATATTTTTGCACTTATATTTTAGAGTATCAAAAAATTCACTGATAGTTATTGCTTCAGTGGGAAGCTGGGAAGTAACACAAGGAGATACATGTATAGTACAAAGTTCTGTCAAACAAAGAAGAGGCAGTCATCAGTCGCATCGCTAATTAAAAGCAAATAGGCATAATACAAAAGTGATGCCATAAAATAGTTATTTTTTCATGAGTTAATAAATTCCTAAATTGTTCAGTGATTTTTTTAATGTGATTGATCATGTTTGCTCTTTTCTTCCATGTTTTTCCACAATGGGGACATTCAAATACAACTTTTCCGTGGGTAATCCTTTTGTGTTTGTCCAGATATTCCTTGGTTTTAAAGGATCGTACTTCCATATCACTAAGTCCATTTTCTTGACATAGTATAACAGAGTGGGTTCTAATAGTTCGCTGAACAAATACAATGGGTGAAATCAAATGGAATTATTTGCTTACTACATTTAATCACTTCATTCTCCATACAATGATTGTTCTATGTTTGATAGCCTTTCTAAGGTAAGTGCACTTATGCATGGTAAATACCAAATTTAATTTTTCACAATGGATAAACTTTTTTCTTTAAATAAAATGTAATAAATACGCATTCGAACAATCCCGTATGCTTTTAAATTAGTATATGTGCTTTAAATCCTATATTTTAATTTTTTTGATTAAATAATTCAACTGATCTGCTCCGGTTACGTTCCCAGCTCCGGTTACGTTCCTAAGTAATATTTTTAAAACATTTTTTTTAATTAAACAAATCAGAGTCGTGTGAATCAGAAATAACAGAATTATTCAAAAGTATAAGGACTATTCTGTACTTTTTTCAAAAGTCTATACTTAAATGTTGTGAAAAGTTATAATCGAAAAACCATCTTTCGGAGTAAAGTCCGTCTGCGCCGATTTCAATAACTTCGTACTTGATCAGAACTGGGTTCCAACAGAATTCCTACAAACTCATGAATGAAATAGTTATTGCATGGAATACTTACTTTTGTCAAAATCAAAATAGAACTCTAGTTAAAAATATATATTGTGCTAAATTATTTCCATTTCTTAGTAAAATGTCGTTCTCCGGTACGTTGCCAAAATTATTCGATGGTACCCCGTGATACTGTATATATCGATTTATAAGTTAATATTGTTATACTGTTAATATGTATTTCTCGTGTATTTTTTAAATAAATACAGGTATTCAACGAATGTGAGGTCACGACCACGTGTATAGGCTAGTGAAAAAATATGGCATTATTTATCGAATTTTCACTTTTGGATACACTATATAGTTAATATTTAATGCGACCCTATAGGGGGTATTGATGATGGTACTGAAAATATAGCTAAGCAAAAAGAACAAAGGACAGAGGGTATTTACAAGGATAACAATCGGGATAAAATCAACACGGTTTACAACATCAAATATTTATTTACAACATATAACAATACATGCATACAGTAATAAACAAGACACAAATAATAAGAGATAAAATGGAAATGCTAATAACGAGATCCAACCCCGGAAAACCAGAGGGTCATGTCACGCCCTAACTTCCGTTATCGTAATACATCTAACCTCAAGTATTTGATCTCAAACTACTACTCGTGATAAAGTCAAAGGCGTACCTCATTGGGCTATACCTAATGTACTTCCATATATCAAACCTTGTACCGATATCCAATACTCATCAAATTACGGTCCAAAATCCAAACATCAAACAAGAAGCCACAATTACACAGTCTTCATCGTATCATGCGCTCTGGTCAACTGACGATATCAACCTTGCACAACTCACACGTCAAAGTTAGCTGTGTCAAAACCTTTTTGACCAATGATAATTCTCTATAAACTAGTTGGACAAATGAGAACTCTCCAGAAACTAGTTAGACCAATAATAACTCTCTATTTCCAAATATGAAAGACTAATGAGTATAAGTTTTAAGCAACGTTTATTGATTCAAATGAATCTCTTGTTTCACAGCTTATTTTCCTAATTGTGTTCGATATTAACTACATTAGACAGTTTGCATGCTCCTATGAATATGGCGTTCTATTTACACAATGTTTCAAACACAACCATAAACTTTATAACATAAAATAACAAGAACATAAACCCTATTAACCGACCGTTTCAGTTAGTTAATGAATATTGTAAAACTGCAATATGTATCCCTTTCTACTCAGATTTTGATATACACGTAAATGAGTGAAATGATAAAACAAATATTGAATTCTGTTTCGAGCAATACCTGTATACACGGGGAAAGTTTACCCGCATATATACAACCTACCGCCGAGCAAAGACCCGAATATGTCTGAAAATGTAGGGGATAAGTTAATAAACTCCTGTTTATATATTGAATTTCTCAATATGAGAAATAGATAAAACACAGAATTGTCTGTAACAGATATAGTTGTTGTTTCAGGCACTCATGTTTGCAGAATAATGGGTACTTTATGCAATATTTACTATCAAATCGCTAAATTCAACTTCTAAATATAAGAATGATGTTTTACTAAGAACCATGGCTGTACTTACTCCATTTGATTCAAAGATACAATAGGTGCTAATATATTACATTTGTTTCCCTGGCATACGTTGCATATCATTGAAATCACCGATGAAAGTTGAAAATGAAAGACCCGATTATACCACGAGTACGATTCAATAGGACCCGATGTAACCGCCTGAGTATTCCGATTATACCGTGAGTAAAACACGATGAGGTAGTGAGTAAGCTTTCGGATGATCATATAATAACATGAAGTATATCACAAAAATTCCTGTTAATATGATATAATTCCCGCAGCACTATACGTCAACGTCTGTGTCCCGTAAAGTTCCCGTTATGCTCATTCGCTCTCAATTTTGAATAACATAAGATATCAAACGGTTACTAAAATGAAAAAAAGATTGACCAGTAGAGATTAGGAACTTGAAACATATTATTCATTTTTTCCATAAATATGGATAATAATTAATTTAAATGCAATTTCGCGCTATTCTTATCCTCCAGTGTTGATAGCCTAATTTCTGTTGTGTTTGTCTGGGTCAAAATGTTACAATTATAGTATTGATAACGAGGAACCCTTCTAATAAAGGCAATTAAATCAAGGTTCGAAAACTCCCAAAAGTAACTCTAACACTATTTCATCATCAGCACGTCATCGATGTCATCGGATCACAACAGATTTTACTCAAGCAATGTTCGGATTCTGACATCCTTGATATTTATATATTCTTCAATGTTTCGACAAAATTACCCAACTGTAGATCAAGGAAAAGTAGGGTTGATAATATTTCCAATTAATTGTGGATCAGATATGAAACACCTGGGAATCTTCTGTTCATTCAATATCAGATTGCTAACATTCAACATGAAAGAGCAGGCAATTCCAGGCTCACAAACAGCACCTGAGAAAGGGATCATAATGCAAAGCTTATCAAATAGAGATATACGATGAGAGATCAAAGTTAAACTTCGGCAGTGAACGTGAATAGAGATTGTTATTTTGAATCTCTTTATATTCAAGAATTTAGTTGCGTACTATATAATATAAAATTTGCTAATACAAAAGTCAAGCGACGCTTATTATTATTAAAACGTACAACACAAGGGAATATCATCGCCTTTTTGGTGAATGGGGTTGAACAGGTAGTTTTTACAAGAAATATAAAGAAATTCACACAATTTACTTCAATTTTACTTTACTTACTATTAAACTCCCTATTCAAAGAAAAAATGAACAAGCACATGTCATGAAAATGTCAAACGTCCTTCTGCAGGAAATTCGTCGGATGTCTTCCTGGTTGTCTTGTTGGTTGGTCGGTCGGTCGGTCGGTTGGTTAGTGGGTAGGTGGGCTATTTGTTTCGTTGTCTTTCTGTCTGTTCGTTTGCCTGTCTCTTGGTTGTCTATTTGGTTTGCTGGTTGGTTGCTTGGTTGTGTGCTTGGTTGTTTGTTGTCTTGTTAGTTGGTTTTCTGGCTTGGTGTCTTGTTCGTTGATATGTGGGTTGTTTGGTTTGTTATCTGGTTGGTTGTCTGTCAGTCGGTTGGTCGGTCAGCCCATCGGTTATTATACAGTGCTGCTCAAAAATAACGCAACAAACAAACACATTGTTAAAACACACAAGGCATTAACATGACGAAATGTCACCACATAGTTGCTCACAATATAATGAGTTATATAAAATACAAATATAAGATTGATTCTGCTTCAACTACCTGAGTACATTTTTTATTATTTCAGGGTATGTTGTATTATTATCTAAGTAAATATTTAATATCTGAATCATATTTCGTATTATTTCAGGGTATGTTGCTACAAACGCTTGTGGTGTGTGTCCTATTTAAAGTTGTCACCCCCTTACTAAAAGTGCTGCAGGGCAAAGAGAAACACATGGGCAAGAATAACATCACCTTAATGATAGAGAACTTGTTAACAAAAAATATGCACTTGGATCTCAGCTACATCAATATCTCAACAATTTCGTCTGAGACATTTTCAGGTCTGAAATCATTGCAGAGTCTTGATCTGCAAGGAAATAATCTTAAAATTTTAAAAACAGGAATTTTCAGTGACCTCGTATCTCTTCTGAAAATGAATCTTCAGCAAAACGAAATATCAGAGATACAAACTGGCGCATTTTCAGGTTTGCTATCATTGCAAACCCTCAACCTCGCAGGAAACAGACTTTCAATATTGAGAAATGAAACATTCAAAAGCCTGATATCAGTGAGAACTCTAACCCTTCGCAATAATGGTATTTTAGAGATTGAATCCGAGGCCTTTTTGGGTTTACAAGCATTGGCAATTCTCCAATTGAAAAATAACACACTTAGAATTTTGACAAAGAAAATGTTTAATCACCTTACATCTTTGAGACAACTTGATCTCTATGACAACAAAATTTCAGTAATAGAACCGGGTGCATTTTCAGGTCTGAAATCATTGCAATTACTCTACATGCAAAGAAATAATCTAAAAATCTTAAAATCCGGAGTCTTTGGTGACCTCTTATCCCTTCAAGTAATTAATCTTCAGAGTAACGAAATATCAGAGATAGAAACTGGCGCATTTTCAGGTTTGCTATTATTGAAAGATCTCGAGATTCAAGGAAACAAACTTTCAATTTTGAAAAAGGGTATATTCAATAGGCTTGTATCTGTAAAAGTTATCAATTTTCACAACAATAGCATCTCAGAGATTGAATCCGACACTTTTCTTGGTTTGCATGCATTAGAAATGCTTGAATTGCATAACAATAAACTCAGAATTTTTAAAAAAAGAATATTTAATAACCTCAAATCCTTACAGCAACTAAAACTTTTCCAAAACGATATTTCAGTTATAGAAACAGATGCATTGACTGATTTGCAAGCAATAAGTACATTCTCATTATTTTCAAATAAACTGACAAATGTGACAGAAAACATGTTCAGTAATTTATCCTTTCTTTATAGCATCGACCTTTCACAAAATAAAATAGATATGATAGAACTTGGGTCATTTTCTAATTTGGAAAAATGTGAATACCTATCTTTGTCTTACAATAAAATCACACATCTTTATGCTGGTATGTTCAGGGGTATGGTCTCGTTACAATCCCTGCGTATTGCTTTTAATGAAATAACATATGTTGAATTCGGGGCATTTGCAGGTCTTAATAGTCTTCGAAATCTCTTTATAAGTAACAATAACCTGCAGAAAACACTAACTGATATATGCGAACATTTATTTAAATTAGAATTTTTAGATATCAGAAATTACAGTATGTCGTCTGCCCATTCTGAATACACAAGTAGTAATGAAATAAGGGAACTATGTTTGACCACGAGACCAACAACTGTCAACATTACAGTATCACCCGCTGAGAAAGCGAAGCAACCATTGAGTGTATTGATGATTTCTATAATTTGTGGATGCTCAGTTTTCGTACTGTTCACAATCACAAGCGCCTCTGTTGTTTTCTACAAATGGAAACCCAAGAAGTCAAATGACACAAATGATGACGACAATAATGACACTGCTCACCCGATGCCGTCGACATTGAGGGAATAACTGAGACATTCGTGGCATGTTCAATATGAGTTAGAAACTAGTTGTATATGCATAGACAAATAAAACTTTAGTTTAACTGTAAATATAAAGTTTGTACCCGCTGGGGGAATAGTCGAGACATAAGAGTCATTCCCAAGATTAATGAGACACGCACCTAGTTGTGTGCGTGTGTGTGTGCATATACTAAAAAACTGTTGTTAAACTGTAAATATAAAGTTTGTACCCGCTGGGGGAATAATCGAGGCATAAGAGTAATTTCCAATATTAATGAGACACGCATCTAGTTGTGTGCGTATGTTGTATGTGCATATACTAAAAAAACTGTTGTAGAACTGTAAATATAAAGTATAGTTAAATATACCCGTTGAGGGAAGAATTGAGATATACCATATTCATAGGCGATCAGCCTGGGGGGTCGGTCGTTACCAAATCAGTGGAATAATGGCCATGGTGATTTTGGGGAAGGTGTACATCCCTAGAGTAAGAAAATATGTGCACTCTGAGGGAATAATTGAGACATAAAAGCCATTTCCAATATTAATGAGACATGCACCTTTTTGTGTGAATGTGTATTTACATAAACAGAACCTGGAGTTAAAACTGTATTATATATATGGACTGTAGTCAAATGTGCACAGCTTTAAATTATTGCATTTCAATGTGTCAAGTGAGGGAAAATGAAACAAAAATGCTATTTATAATACCAATTAGATATGCATGTGTGTTTGCTTTAATAAATCTAAAGCTTTTAAACTCAGGCCCGTAGGCAGGGGGGTTCGCAGGGTTCGGGCAACCCCCCCCCCCCCTGGCCAAAAATTCTTTCAAAATCATGCAGTTTTTCACCATTTTGAGCACTTCTCATGTGATTTTAACCATATTTGGGCAAAAATTGTAACAGTGAACCCCCTTTGGAAATTTTTGAATACTGAACCCCCCCCTCCCTTGGCAAATCCTGGTTACGGGCCTGGAACTGTAGTTACCATGTTAATATTTTGATTTCAACTTCAAATCTACACATTAAAGTATTTCAAGTCATGAGTGAACGTAGGAACTGCCTCACCGAAAATTACAAAATCGTCACCATCCTAATTAAGTGATGATATACATGTATAGTCTCTAACAATTATTTGTGGACGGCGGTTGGTGTTCGGCGTTTGGCTGTCGGCGCCGGTAACATGGCGTCTGTGATATATGTCGTAAATAACAAATGGCAGGTTGTTGCATCTTGCCTTGTTCAGATATTTTGTCAACTTAGCTTGAAGTAAATAGATATTAATGAATTTTCAAGAGAATAATTGTAATTCTATGCCATCTATCTGATAAATATATAAGTATTCATCGAACAAAATGTCATATCGGACAAAGATGAAAATAAAATTAATAAACATTAAAAATCTGAATTACTTATTTATTTTGCTATTTGCAACCATATTGTGACACTATTTCCTAGACAGTACTAATGCTTAATTATGAGCAGCACTCAAGAAATGGTTTTCCTAATTCCTAATTTAATTGCCCGCATCGTGGCATCGATTGCCCATATTGTGGCAAAACGTTTCATATGTATGTCAGGACCGTCAGATTGGAGGAGGGGGGGGTGTTTAGTGCCAACGCACCCCCTCTGGCACCCCCCCCCCTAAAAAATCAATTTTGTTAATTGACTCTTACACTTTGAGAGTGCCCAGAAATCACGAAATAGCATCTTAAAATTACAAAATTTTGTAGAGGGAGTGGACCACCCTTCACGCCCTATAAAAGAACAATTGAAAAAGATTTATGAATTTATTTTATTCATTGTCCCAGACACTTAAAAAGTGCTCATTAAATAAAAAGTTGAGATGGTGAATGTTTTTGGGTGGCAACTCTTTGAAAAAAAATTGAAATTCAAAAGTCCGAGGAGTCACTAAATGACATCTAAAAGTTCTTATCTACAATTCTCTTCAAAAAAAGTGATTTTAGAAATCACCAAATTACATATTGAATTGGTAATGATGGTGTTACCCCATGTATACATGTATTTGTTAATTCAAACACTTTAAAAGTGGCCAGAAATCACCAAATGACATATTGAAATCATTTCTGGCACCCCGCCCCAAAAGGATATAGCATTTATTTACTCAAACACGTTTAAAGTGCCCAGAAATAACCAGACTTCAGGCACCCCTCTCCCTCTACCCCCTTGCTCCCCAACGAAAACGATTGCATTTAGATTCAGTTTCTTTAGATTGATTCTATTGATGCATGCAATTTTTCTAATTTCCTTTTTGATTAACTCATACATTTTGAAAGTGCCCGGAAATCACCAATATAGCATCAGAATTTATTTTACTTCTATTTTTATTCAGTTCCATCAAATGACTTCTATTTAAAGTTTATTCTTTTAAGTAAAAACCGCACCCCCTTAAAGAAAAGTGTCTGACGGGCCTGATTGCTATATGTTTGCAAAGTGGTTGAGTTAGTGTGACCCAATGTGTGATGATAAGTTATGTAAGAAAATTAACTGTTGATATCACATAGATTGAAAATCGCATATGATGATGAAAGTTTCGCATATATGATGATGCGAATTTCGCATTTTATGATGCGAGTTTCGAATCATACAGTTCGAGTGTCGCATCATATGGTTCGACTTTTATGACATGAATTATGTATTGTCCAATTTTGATACAAAATAAATTCCATATACACATTTCTTTTCATAAATTGCCATTCCTCGACATCAAAATCCTGATCACCGGTAAACATGATGCATATTGCAATGGATATACAGGGTGTTCCGAAAGAATGGGGCCCCCCTAGGCAGACATATTCCAGTGTCCTCATAGTATGTGTCATATATCATTTTAAAGCTTATCCAAAGTTACATTGATTTGCCAAGTATCAGGGCTGAACTCCCAAATGGGAAAAAGTTACAGTAGTTTTAAAAGTTAGTGTTTTGTCAAAATAAAGTTCAATTTTACACCACATTACTAGTCAATGTGTCCAACTCAATATCCATCCGACCCGAAAAGAATTGCTGCTGTTAAGATGGCCCGGGAGGACACATTGACTAGTGTTTTGGTGTAAAATTGAACTTAATTTTGACCAAACACTAAATTTTGAAATGCCTGTATTTTTTTACATTTGAGAGTTGAACCATGATACTTGGCGAGTCAATGTAACTTTGCATAAGCTTTAAAATGATATATGACACACACTATGATGACACTGGTACATGTCTGCCTAGGGGGGCTCCATACTTTCGGGACACTCTGTACATGTTTATGCGTCGTCGATCTGAAATTTTCAACATTTTGCCAATAGTCCCCGATCTGATTTCCAAAAGGGCTCTAGAAAAGGGGTTTTGTTGTCCGGTACTTTCCCACATAAAATGATTGTACGGTTTGAAAGAACAGACTTCCCTCTTAAAGAAAACAGCTCTTCTATTGATGTAAACAGGGGCAAAAGGCACCAAAACGGGGTTAGACAAGGTGGCATTCTGAAGTCTCACTTTCTTGTCATCACGATTCCAGGTAAACCATTAGACGGATTTACTTCAAGTTTTCACACATGTTACATGGTAAGAAGTTCTAGAGCTGATTAACTTTGCGGCGGCCATCTTGCATTCTGGCGGCCATCTTGGAATTTTTTTTCAGATAAATATTGTCATCGTGATTCCACAAAAACCACATAACAGATGTACTTCAAATGTTCACATATGTAACATGGTAAAAAGTCCTAGACCTCATTATTTTTTCGGTGGCCATCTTGCATTCTGGCAGCCATCTTGGAAGTTTAAAGATAAATCTTGTCATCATGATTTCAGGAAAACCAAACGGATTTACTTCAAATTTTCACACATATTACATGGTAAGAAGTTCTAGAGCTAATTAACCTTTCGGTGGCCATCTTGCATTCTGGCGGCCATCTTGGAAGTTTTTTGGATAAATCCTGTCATTGTGATTCCAGGAAAACCACTTTACTGATTTTCTTGAAACTTTTACACATGTTACAAGGAAGGTTACATGCTACCTTTTATATTGATATAAACAGGGGCAAAAGGCAGTAAAGTTGGGTTACACAAGGTGGTATTTTAAGGAGAATGTTATCTATTTTTCTGCATTTTAAACCACATAATTTGACATAAATGCATATTTGGTGTATGATATCATGTTTTATATTGATAGAAACATGGGCAAGAGGCGCTACAATGGGGTAACACATGGTGATATTATAAAATACATATTTTTACTCTGCTTCTGTACTTTATACCACTTAAATGCATTTTGTGTATGACATCGATTGGTTTTTAGAATAAATAACTACATTTCATCAAAAAGAAAAAATATTATTGAAAACGTCAAACATTTCTTTGAAATCCATTATTGCACAGTGATTTTTGAGAGCGAAATGTATGCTAAATTGGCCTTGATCTGAGTATATAACGGAATTAAAGCTCTTTTAAACGAAAATGTAAATGTGTGGAAAACCTTTCACTGTGCATCATGTCAACGAAATGTTCTTCATGCAGTTGAATTATCTTCTGGACAGGTGACCACACAGAAGGAGAGACCTGCGTATCATAACCTTACTAAATATAAACAAAAATGACAAATGAGAAAGGAAAAAAGTGTAAAGCAACCCAGTGGCAAAAGCAAACTGTAAAGTGTAAAACTGGCAAACAAAAATCAAACCTGAATATCCCAAGACAATAATCTAATATGTGATTAAACAGCATCCACACCGTTCAATGACCAATTCCTCATCAACGACCACAACTCCGAGGGACATTCCATTCATACTGAAGTCATTAAAATACATGTTGAAGAAAAATTGAAAATAATGATATCCAATACTCATAAGATCAAAAATAGTTGTAGATACTATAGTACTCATAAAAGCTGCAGATAACGTTTCTTCATCGGGAAAGCAAGCTGTCTCTTAGTCATATATTAACTAACGAGCTGGTTCAGAGCACCAGCATGTCAAACTATGTGAATGGGCTCTGTATCCACAATGTTGCGAGTTCG